GCTGCTTGCTTAGCCACTGTGGGTTCTGCTTTAAGTCTTGACTCTGCACATGCTTATGCAAGTGAGTAACTGTACTCGTGTGAGTTGTCCCAATGAACTCAATGCGACGGCTCATGGCAGTAAAGCTTCTCGCACGGCCCATGATTGTCAAAATGGGATGACTACAATAAGATGCCTAAATCCACATCTAGGCATGTAACTAAGTGGGAGCTGTTAAGGTCTTGCCTTTAACCAGGAAAAAAGGTGTATTTGTAACAACCACTAACCCCCATCACCCCCTTAGGGGGACCTAGAGTTTACCTCAACTAGATAACACATGTTAAAAATACACCTGCCTTGTCTACTGTGGACACAGCCTGCGTGCTCAGCACTCTTGATAACCAGGGTCCTTATTTATCTGCCTAACAATGGACTTGAGGGCCTAACTTTAGGCATAGAGTTGTTTGAGAATCTTGGTTCTGGGTAGGTTTACCAGGCGTCCGGTTTTCGACCAGAACAGCCGGTCGAAAAGGGACCCTGGCGTCTTCAGTCAACACCGCAAGTGATGGAGGGAGGGGGGATAGGGTGACTGGGGAGTGAGGCCTCGGAGAAGGGGCAGGGCTTCGGGGAAGGTCGGGGCAGGGGGCGGGGCAAGGGTGTTTGGTTTTGTACAGTTAGAAAGTTGGCAACCCAAGTTCTGGGTGCTCAGCCTGACGTGGTAGGTGGCTGGGCAGCGGTCTGCGTTGCGGAGCTGAAGGCTGTGAGTGCTACTGTAATCCAGACCTGCTTGGGTGGCGCTCTGTCCCGCTCTTGTGGCACCTAGACCAACTACAGATTGATGAGCCTGCTACAGCTTTGGCTAAGAGATGTGTCCTGTAGCTCATGCGGTAGAGGTTCATGCGTTAAGCTCAAGAGATCCCAGGTTTGACCCCGGCCGCTGCTACCCAGGGTCTGTCAGTGTTACAAGGGGGGACTTGTCCGGAATTTCAGCTGGGAAGTCTCTGAAGCTTGGATCGTGCTTCCTCAGGCAGAGGAAGTATATAACCCATGCCTGCTTGGTGTGGCGCTCTGTTCCCCTCTAGTGGCTGCTTAGGCCGGCTAGAGATTAACCAGTCTGCTATTGCATTGTCTAAGTGACTGCCATGTACATTGGTCAAACTGGACAGTCTCTACGTAAAAGAATAAATGGACACAAATCAGATGTCAAGAATCATAACATTCATAAACCAGTCGGAGAACACTTCAATCTCTCTGGTCACGCAATCACAGACATGAAGGTCGCTATCTTAAAACAAAAAAACTTCAAATCCAGACTCCAGCGAGAAACTGCTGAATTGGAATTCATTTGCAAATTGGATACTATTAATTTAGGCTTAAATAGAGACTGGGAGTGGCTAAGTCATTATGCAAGGTAGCCTGTTTCTTCTTGTTTTTTCCTACCCCCCCCCCCCCCCAGATGTTCTGGTTTAACTTGGATTTAAACTTGGAGAGTGGTCAGTTTAGATGAGCTATTACCAGCAGGAGAGTGAGTTTGTGTGTGTATGGGGGTGGGGGGGATGTGAGAAAACCTTGATCTATGCAGGAAATAGCCCGACTTGATTATGTAAAGAGTTGTCACTTTGGATGGGCTAGCACCAGCAGGAGAGTGAATTTGTGTGGGGGGCGGAGGGTGAGAAAACCTGGATTTGTGCTGGAAATGGCCCACCTGTTGATCACTTTAGATAAGCTATTACCAGCAGGACAGTGGGGTGGGAGGAGGTATTGTTTCATATTCTCTGTGTGTATATAAAGTCTGCTGCAGTTTCCACGGTAAACATCTGATGAAGTGAGCTGTAGCTCACGAAAGCTCATGCTCAAATAAATTGGTTAGTCTCTAAGGTGCCACAAGTACTCCTTTTCTTTTTGCGAATACAGACTAACACGGCTGTTCCTCTGAAACCTGTCATAAGTGACATGTGTCTTCTAGCCCATGCAGTAGAGGCTAATGCATTAAGCTCCAGAAGTCCCAGGTATGATCCTGGCTGCTGACAACCAGAGTCTGTCTCCGTTACACTGTGGCCGGTATAATGGCCAGTGAATGTGGGTCTTGGTTACGGCTGTTGTCCATTTCAGTGAGCTCCCTCTTTACAAGATAAATGCCAACTACAGCTTCAACCGAGTCACACTACTGGTACTGATTTAATAATTAAATTGATCTTGGGCGAAAATATTAAAATCTGAGCAGTTCCTCTTGCCTAAAACGGTGACTAAAATAAAAATCCAGAACTAAATTAACAATGTCTTCTCCCAATTACAGACACCCTCCAGTGAATATAAGGTTGTCATGGCAACATGCCCAGGAACGGCTATGTATAATATGGTCAAAAATAAAGCACAGCAGGGAGAAATCTTTTGAATCCAATTTCACTGTCAACATAAAATTAAGTTTTTTAAAGGCCAGCTAGACAGGTTAATGTATGGTGGCAATTCTCCCTGCAAGAGACATGTATGTCTGCCAGCTTTATATATTTATACAGGTGCGTGTTAAAGAGAAACTGCAAGGTAACATACGCGATAAAAGTTTTTAAGTGTCTTAAATATAACTAAGAAAGGAACGCTCAGATAAGAAACTGTCATCTAGAGAACTGGATGGTATTGAGTACGCCTGAGGGGAGAAAAGAGAATGAATTTGAATGCCTAGGAAAACATTTCAGAGTTGCCATAATTAAGTCTCAGGAAACCGTAAAATTCATCTGAACACGTGGAAAAGCATAAGTTCTATTTTTTAATTTTAAATGTTTTTTGCATACTATTTGAATTAACAATGTTTTAATGATAATTAAGTAAAAATAAAGTGACTTTGTTTCAAAATGTTTTAGCTGCTATTGCTCAATCTATGATTGTTAGCCAACAGCGTTATTTATAGCAAGGTAGTGCCTACCAACCCCAGCTGAATTCAGGGCCCTATTGTTCTAGGCCCTGTCCAAAACATACACAAAGAGAGAGCCCTTGCCCCCAAAGAGCTTGCTATCTAAAGAGACAAGGCAGATAAAGGATGGGAGAAAGGGAGTGTTATGCCACATTTTAAAGATGGGAAACTGAGGTACCAAAAGTCAGGCCATGATCCAGCGATTGATTCCCTGGTGGACAGGCCCCAGTTGAAGTCAAAAGGGGTGTGCTGTGGCATAACCCTCCCACTCGTCGCATTGGGGCCCTGAAATGGCTGAAAAATGGAAGACCCAGGTTTCATTTTGCCTAACGGACAAATTCTACTGACTGTTAACTATCGCACTCATTCTGGGAAGCCAGACCAAGTTCGCAGTAGTAGGCTGCATTACTGCCCAGGCTACTGCTGACAGCACTTGAGTAACTGCAAGCTCCCTACCAGCTGGCAATGTAACACTGAGGCAGCTCTTCAGATGAGCTGCCATGACCTCTAGCCATAAGCAGAAGCAGCTGGGGTAGGCTCGCCACTTCTCGCAATGCCTAGAATCACTAGTCTTGCCGAGCTATACCTGTGCTATACCTGGAGGGTAAGGCCGTGAAGGAGGCGCTGGCTTGGCTCTGCCACTGACTTCCTCTATGACCTTGGGCAGGTCCCTTAGCATCCATGCTTCACTAATCACTGCATGCAAAGTACTTTGAAAGTGTTGAGTTCTGTATTTTTATTATTGGATGCAAAAAAGCCCTGGCCTAATAGAACACTCATTAGTAGCTTCTAAAGAGGGTCCCTGCCCTAAAGACTAAGGTAGTCAGTTGTAATTATTAGTAATCTCTAAAAACAGTCCCTGCCCCCAAAGAGTTTACAATCTATTGAAGTATAAAAACTCTTCGAGTCAGATGTGAGTGTACAGCGCCTAGCGCAATAGGGTCCCAATCACTGAGTGTGGCCTTTAAGCATTACTGCAATATAAATAATAATTATGTATATAACACACAACATTTGCTTGGGTGTCTTACAAATAAAGAGAGATTAGGTCCCTATCCCAGGGATCCTACAGTTGAATTAATCCAGTGGTTCTCAAATTGTGGGTCGGGACCCCAAAGTGGGTTGGGACCCCCTTTGAATGGAGTCACCAGGGCTGGCTTAGACTTGCTGGGGCCCGGGGCTGAAGCCTTAGCCCCACTACCCAGGGCTGAAGTCAAAGCCCGAGGGCTTCAGCAGGACTCAGGTTGCAGGCTCCCTGCCTGGGGCTGAAGTCCTGGAGCTTCAGCTTTGGACCCCCGACCCAGAGTGGTGGGGCTTGGGCTTTGGCCCGCCCACCCAGGGCAGTGGGGCTTGGGCAGGCTCAGGCTTTGGTCCCCCTCCTGGGCTCATGAAGTAATTTTTGTGTCAGAAGGGGGTCATGGTGCAATGAAGTTTGAGAACCCCTGAAATAATCCATCTAGCTAAACTTTTCCCCCGGCCACTATGGGATTTTTGCCTTCAGTATATAGTCCCCGGTGCTTTATCTGAAGAGTTTTTAAGTGTTTGTGTGTGTGGGAAATAGGAGCCTTAATGCAAGAGAATTTCCTTGTTCCACTTCAAATGGACCTGGTCCTAACTCCGGCCTCTAAAGAGGTACAAGCCAAACTCCCCCTTACCCAGATGCAGAGAAACTCCAGGCCCAGAATTCTTCCCTGCACAGGGAGGGTGAGAAGAGGAACTACATTTCCCAGCATGGCCAGCGTGTCCCTTTCTTTTAAAGTCCATGCACGTGGGTCGTCAGGAGGAGCTGAGACGTCACAGTCCTACATTCTCTGTGTCAGAGCCGGGTTTTTCTCCTCCTGGGCAGTCAGACCTCCCTCATCAAGGCAGGACTCATGAACCTAAAGGCAGGAATCTGACATCCGGACCCCCTTGCCCCAGCCAGGCCACCCTCTGCCCTAGCCGTGGACGGCCCGCAAGGTAAAGCAAGATAATCTCTAGATGGGGGGGGGGGAGGGTTGGTGTGTTTGGTTGTGTTTTTTGCACCCTTTGCACTCGTGTTTGTTCGGTGGGTGTCTGTGCAGATTGCCAGGAAAGAGCCATCGAATAGCTGGACACTGTAAAAGACACACACGCACCATTGTAACTGCCTGGGGTCTATGGGAGCTTGGGTTTCATCTGCCTTCCCAGCGCCAGGCAAGCTATTTCTCAGGCTGGGAGCAGCTTCTGCTCACCGGCAAAAGGGCATTTCAGTGCTTCGGTGGCAGGGAAGAGCCTAGAGCTGTGGACTGTAAACCATGTTGTCGCTGTCAGGTCTGTGCTCCAAGGAGGGGTGTGTTTCCCTTTGTTGTGAAGCCTCCTTTTGCTGCATTGGGTTGCAGTTGTGGTGGCCAGCTTGCAGCTGTTTGCTTTTTTTTTTTTTTTTTTTCTGGCTACGAATCCAAAAGGGCAGGTCGGTGGCCTGGATGCTTTTTGTGCCCAGCGCCGTGATTATTCAGGATCCTGTTCCCTTTCCTTTCCATAGGCCACAGCGGCATGTATTTTGCTTTCATTTTTATCCCTCCCATGTGATTCTGTTTTTTTCAGAGGGGCAATGTCTTGCGTGGATGTGTGTTGATTGCATGTTGTCTAGACCGAACTCCTCCTCCCCCCGCTGTCGGAGAACTCCCATTGCGGAGTGTGGTGGGAACGGGATCAGGAATTGCAAATTGGGCCTTCTGGATTTATCGGGATTGCGTGTGTTTTGTTTTCATGGCATCGTTCCGATACAGTCACTCGGACAAACGAGGCACTGGGGGGATGCCTGTTCAGGGGTGGGGGTGCACGCAGCTTGATCGCGGTCAGACCCGAATTAAAAGAATATTTAGATAAAGCCCCCCCCTCCCCCCCGTAATAGGGAGCAATGAATGCGGGGGTGAGATCGTTCCTGAGCGTTGCTCTGTTTCCTACAATACTTGTTTGTTCCAGAAACGTGTCTGATGGATAGAAGCTTTTTTGGTTGTGGTTGGTGCATTTTCGGGGCCTTCTCTCTCTCCTGATGATGATATAGGATTAATTGATGGGAGATATTGTCATCCTTTTAGTTTCCACTGAACCCAACTGCTTTAGAGAGTGGTGGGTTTTGTGTGTTGTGGTTACTTAGAATTAAGCAACTTGTGGTTGTGTTGGCTAGCTGTGCATTTTTCTGCATTTAATTCGGATCCTATTAATATATTACAATTAGGCAGTGTGTGCGCAGAGAGCGATCCGAAGTGGGCTTTATCTTTATACAGGTTTTAGATGACTTCGGTATGAATAAAGCAAACCCTAACTAATTGAGTGTTGGTACAGACAGGAGCTAGTGAGGTGGGTGTATGGGATCACGGTTGGCTGTGGTTTACGAGGTAGATTCCCAATTCGCATTAACCACATCCCTTGCCCGTCTGCGGGCAAAGGCAGTGAAATTCGGGGTGCGGATTTGCATCCGCCTCGATGGCTTTTTATTATGCTCTCCCCCCCCCCCCCATCCTTGGCCGCTCTCCATTTCAGCGCCCCGCCCTCGGGTGTTACCTGCGGCATGCTGTAGGAATTAAAGGGGGGTGGGTGGGGTAGGGCCAGCCCGCCCCCGCTGCTCACCCCTGCCCCCAGCGCCTGCCCGCGAGTGGCGCTTGCGACCTGCGGCTGGATGAATGGGTTGAGCCGGGGTTGCCTAGGCTTGGGTGCGGCCCCGGCGGCCTGGGAGAGACGCCCCCCGGCTCTGGCACCTCCCGGCTGGTTCGAGGAGCCCCTGCCCCGCTGCTCCCCGCGGCATCCCCCGCGGCGCGGGGCCGGGCAAAGGCTGCGGGCGCGGGAGCTGGGTGGGAGCCCCAGGCTCCGCAGCCCCGCGCCCCGTCAGAGCTGCCCGTGGGCCGGGGACAGTGACACAGCAGCTGCCGTGCGGGGGGAGGCCAGGCGCTTGCAAGGGGCAGCAGCTGCGGCTCTGTGCCACCCTGACCCCCCACCCCTGCCTTGGAAACCCCCCTGGCACTGCGTGCCAGCAGCTCCGACTCCCCGCGAGCCCCTGGCTGGTGGTACTCACTGCGGGGGGGGGGGGGGGGGGGGAGCTACAGGGAAGAATGGCATGTGGGGAAGAATGAAATGTAGCCCGGTACTTTGCTCCGGTGTGTGTCCCATCGCACTGCGCTCTGCACAGGCCTCAGGATTCTTATCCCCCTTTTGGAGGCGGGGGAGCAGAGGCGCGGAGACACTTTTGTAACTTGGCCCAGAGCTCAGAGGAGAAGCCCAGGTGCCCTGGCTCCCGGTCCCATGCCTTCTCCGCCAGAACGTCTTTCCTGCTCTCCTCTGGGGCGCACAGGAAAGAAGGGCCTTGTTTGGGGTTCTGAAGCAATGATGGGCACTTTTGGCTGGGGACCTGAAAGCATTTTGCAGAGCATTATCTCCATAGGGGCACAGTGAGACTAAATGATATAGCCAGGGTTCACATGGCAGAATTAGGCACAGTACCCGGGTCTCCTGATTCATAAGCCCCTCTAACCACTACATAGCACTGCTTCCTTTTGGGAATTGTTTTTCCCCACTCACGATTTTTTTCTAAAACTGAAGTATGGAAATTTACCAAAAAAAAGCTTTTAATGCTGATTTCCACCCCAATTATTCTCTTAGATTCAAGAGGGATAGGTCTGAATTTATGGATGCCTGGCTGACCTTCAAGGAGTGCCCCCCATTATTTTATGACTAGATGAATCCTCCCGTGAAGACATGAATTTTGCATTAAACCTAATTCCCATTAATTTAAAAGCTGGAGTCAATTTTTCTGAAGAAAACAAATCAACGATTTGAAAGCAGTAGAAAAATGATGAATACCTTGTAACATGTAGTATAGGTCAAAGTCAGTGCTCAGCTAAAGCATGTAATAATAGCTGTAGTGTATTGCCATACCATTTTCAGCAAAATAAAAGTATGTCTGGATCCTACCTAGACTAATAAAACATTGTGGCATAAGTATTGGGCTAATGGGGGAATAGATAAATATCAACAGTGTAGGATATTGAAGCCTAACTTTAGCATTAGGTTAAAAAAGCCGTCCACCCTCTTTAGGGAGTTCTGGCATTGACATCTGTGGGACAGGATCAGGGGCTAGTTGTCACCTTGCTTGGAGCAGGATTGTTGGAGCTGTGTCAAAGGGCAGCTAAATAGATGGAGCTCCTTCAGTCTGGTACTATAAATCATTTTTCTAATCCTTTGCTCATTCTCCTGGCTCTTCCTTGAACCCTCTCCTATTAATCAACACCCTTCTTGAATTGTGGGCACCAGAACTGGACACAGTATTCCAGCAGCGGTTGCACGAGTGCCAAACATAGAGGTAAAATAACCTCTCTACTCCAGAGTCCCCTGTTTATGCATCCGAGGATCGTATTATCTGTTTTGGCCATAGCATCACACTAGAAGCTCAAGTTCAGCTGATTATCCACCTCCGTCCCCAAATCTTCTTTGGACTCACTGCTTTCCAGGTTAGAATCCACCATCCTGTAGGTATGGCCTATATTCTTTGTTCCTAGATGTATACATTTACATTTAGCCATATTAAAATATATATTGTTTGCTTGTGCCCAGTCTCCCAAGCAATCTAAATAGCTAAGTTAGTAACCTGTCCTCTTTATTATTTACTACTCCCCCAATTTTTGTGACATCTGCAACTTTATCAGTGATGATTTTATGTTTTCTTCCAGGTCATTGATAAAGATGTTCAATACCGTAGGATCAAGAGCCCTGTGGGACCCCACTGGAAACAGACCCACTCAATGATGATTCCCCTTTTACAGTTACATTTTGAGACCTATCATTTAGCCAGTTTTTAATCCATTTAATGTGTGTCATGTTAAATTAATATCGTTCTAGTTTTTTAATCCAAATGTCATGCAGCATCAGGTCAAATGCCTTACAGAAGTCTAAATATATTACGTCAACACTATTACCTTTATCAATCAAATGTGTAATCTCATAAAAAAAGATATCAAGTCAGTCTGATAATCTGTCTTCTATAAATCCATGTTGATTTGCATTAATAACATTGCCCTCCTTTAGTCCCTTATTAGGTGCTCCATTATCTTGCTTGGGATCAATGTCAGGCTGACAGGCGTATAATAACGTGGGTTATCCTGTTTACGCTTTTTAAAAATTGGCACAGCATTAGCTTTCTTCCAGTCTTCTGGAACTTCCTCAGTGTTCAAAACTTATTGAAAATCAACATTAATGGTTCAGCGAGCTCCTGACCCAGCTCTTTTAAAGCTCTTGGATGCAAGTTATCTGGACCTGCTGATTTAAAAATGTCTAATTTTAGCAAATTCTATTTAACATCCTCCAGAGGTACAAGTGGAACGGAAAGTGTACTATCATCATTATATGATGAGACTGCATCATCTGTTTTCCCCCCAAATACAGAACAGAACTATCTATTGAATACCTCTCCCTTTTCTGTATTATTATTGATAATTCTAACACTTCCATCTAGCAGTGGACCAAGACTATTGTCAGGATTCTTTTTGTTCCTAATATATTAACAAAACTTCTTATTGTCCTTAAGTTTGGTAGCATAGATTTGTCCTTGTGTCCCTTGGCTTCCCTTATCAATTTTCTACAATTTTCTTAATTTCTGATTTATATTCATTACTATCAACTTCCTCTTTCTTCCATTTGTTATATTCATTTTTATTTTTTACAGCTGCCTTCATTTCCCCTCTAGACCAATTGGTTTATTAACCATGTTCCTCAGTTGTGGAATTGTGGCTTTTTGGGCTTCTGGTAAGGTGTTCGTAAATGATTCCCAAATATAATTAACATTTTTTTGATTAAATTCTTCCTCCCAACTGATTTGGCTCATAATTGTTTTCACTTTTGTAAAATTGTCCTTATTAAAGCACCGAGTGTGTGTATTACTGGTCTCAACTTTATTCTGTTTGCACATTTATAATGTGATCAAGTCACATTCACTTGTACCTAGGCTACCATTAATTTTTAGTTCTATGGTCTGTTCCTTTTTATCTGTTTGGACAAGGTCTAACATAGACTTCCTCTGTGTTGGCAGCAACACTTTTTGAGTTAGGAAATTGTCATCTATAATGTTTAGAAATTCCAAAGATGTTTCTGTACTGGCAGCATGAGACCTCCAGCATATGCCACTCAATTTGAAGTCCCCCATGATCACACAGTTTTTTCCCCTATGCATTATAGACAGGTGCATATGGAGGAGGTTATCCTGTACCTTACTGTGATTTGGAGCTCTGTAGCAAACACCAACTAGTACCCTATCTTTTGCTTTATCTGTTAGGATATTGATCCATAAGCATTCAGGGTCTTTTTTCCCCCCAGAATTCTGTGACTGAGAAGCAGGTAATGCCATTTTGACATAGAGTGCCACTCCCCCTTTCCCTTTTGCCCACTCGAGCCTTCCTAAATAGGTTATAGGAAGGGCCCTATTAAATTCACGTTCCATTTTGGTAAATTTCGTGGTCGTAGCAGTTTAAATACCTTGAATTTCACGGTTACAGATATTTAAATCTTAAATTTCAGTGTTGTCACAAATCATGAATATGTATTTAAAAATATAAATCTGTAAAACACTTAAATCAGCGTTTCTCAAACTGGGGATCCATCACAAGGCTATTATGGGGAGGTGGGGGTCATGGTATTATCACCCTTACTTCTGCGCTGCCTTCACAGCTGGGCAGCGGGAGAGTCGCGGCTGCTGGCTGGGAGCCCAGCTCTGAAGGCAGCACCACCACCAGCAACAGTGCAGAAGTGAAGGTGGCATGGTATGGTATTGCCACCCTTACTTCTCTGCTGCTGCCCCCTGGCGGCGTAGGAGGGTGGCAATATCATACCATGCCACCTTCACTTTTGGTGAAGCACTGGAATGGGTTACCTAGGGAGATGGTGGAATCTCCTTCCTTAGAGGTTTTCAAGGTCAGGCTTGACAAAGCCGTGGCTGGGATGATTTAGTTGGGGTTGGCCCTGTTTTGAGCAGGGGGTTGGACCAGATGACCTTCTGAGGTCCCTTCCAACCCTGATATTCTATGAAGGCAGTGCAGAAGTAAGGGTGGCATACTGTAATCCCCCTACAATAGCCAGTTTTCTCTGGAGAGACTAGATTTCATGGTCCATGACATGTTTTTCATAGCTGTGAATTTAACAGGGTCCTAGGTTATAGGCATTAATTTTAATGTTCCAATGGTGCGAATCATCCCACCAGGTTTCAGTAATACCAGCTAGATTGAGTTTGTGCTCTTAAATGAGCAATTACACTTTCTCTTTTTTGTTATCCAGGCTCCTAGTATTGGTGTATAGGCAATTTAAGAACTACTTCTGTTCATGTCCTTTGGTTCCTTGATTAATTTTGTTCGTAACATCTCAATTTTGTGCTAATTGGGTGGTCACATTTTCCTTCTTTTTACCTCCCTCTTGCTATTAGTTTAATGCCCTCCTGACTACTCTAGCCAGCCTGTCCTCAAGGAGATTAGTCCATCTTCTACTGGGGTGGAGGCCATCCGAATTATTCAGCTCCCTCACGCTACAGAGGGTGTACCAATGTTCCACAAAACCAAAACCAAAGCCCTAAACCCTACACCATTTACCCAGACACTTAAAGTTTCCATGCAGTTTGTGTTCATTTCACTCTTGTGACTGTTCCTTTAAATTTCCGTTTAACTAGCTTCCTCATTTTTGTGTAGTTCCCCTTTTTGAAGTTAAATGCTACTGTGATGGGTTTTTTGGTATTTCCCTCCCACTACCCCATGAGGATGTGAAATTTAATTACGTTATGGTGGCTAAAATCGGGGGAGCCGTGTTAGTCTGCATCCACAAAAACAACAAGGAGTCCGGTGGCACCTTAAAGACTAACCGATTTATTTGGGCATAAGCTTTCGACTTTTTCACTCCATGCATCTGAAGAAGTGGTTTTTTACCCATGAAAGCTTATGCCCAAATAAATTGGTTAGTCTTTAAGGTGCCACCAGACTGCTTGTTGTTATTTTGGTGGCCATTACTAAGCAGTTCACTTCTTGTACCAGATTCTTTGTGCCGCTTAAGACTATATCAGGAATTGCCTCTCCTCTTGTGGGTTCCAGGACAAACTGGTCCAAGAAGCAGTCATTAATGGTGTCGAGAAGATTTATCTTTGCATCCCATTCTGAGGTGACATGTGCCCAGTTAATATGGGGATAGTTTAAATCCCCCATTATTTTGGGGGTTTCTGTTTGGTAGCATCTCTAATCTCCTTGAGCATTTAACAATCATGTAACCATTTTGGTCAGGTGGTCGATACTGCTATGCTCTTATTATTCAAGCATGGAATTTCTATCCATAAAGATTCTATGGTACTGTTTGATTTGTTTAAGATTTTTACTCTATTTGACTATATGCTTTCTTGGACATTTAGTGCCACTTGCCCACCACCATGACCTACTCTGTCGTTCCTATATATTTTGTATCCTGGCATTACCGTGTCCCATTGATTATCATCGTCCCAGCAAGTTTCTGTTATGCCTATTCTGTCAATATCCTCACTCAATACCAGGCATTCTAGTTCACCCATCTTAGTATTTAGACTTCTTCCATTTTTATACAAGCACTTATAAAATTTGTCAGTATTTAGTTGTCTGCCTTCCTGTAGTGTAATTGAATGGGACTCTTTCATTTGACCATTTCTCTTCAGTTCCAACCTGTACTTTATCAATTTCTATCCTCTCCTTTTAACTAGGAGATAGAGTATTCCCCAAAAGGATGTCTGTGTCTCAACTGTGTGCTCCTCTGCACCTGCCAGCTTTCCCCTAGGCCTTAGTTTAAAAACTCCTCTGATCTTCTATAATTTAATGTAAGGACTATTTTGGGGAATCTTCAAACAACCCCGTAAGCAATGTTCCCTCTAATTTTTGACAGGCTGTGTGCTCAAAAAATGTCTTCTGTGCAAATTGTTGTGCATCTGTGCAAATTTTTGTGCGCTGGTGTTTTGCCGTGTGCGCAGGGTTTAGGATCTGTGTGCGTGTGCACACGCGGCACAGCTTAGAGGGAACAGTGCCCGTAAGTAAGAAGAACAAGTCTAGGGTTGGCTCCAGTTACTGCAGTTGACTGTGTGCACAGAACCTCAATGAGGTTGCCTTGGATGGTTTTGTTAGAGTAGGATGGAGTCAGAAACTTTTTTTTTAGAGTCTACTAGTCATATATGTGACAGAAAGAGGGAAAGATTCTTTCTTGCCCCTTCCTGTAAAAATGATGGGGTCTCTGCAGTTTTTTCTTTTGCAGATTTTGCTGCCAAGATAGAATATGAGGAAAATGTCTTGCTATTCACAAATCCCTGTCAGTAAAAAGTGCCCACTGTTCCTTTCTCAGTTGCTATTGCCAAAGGTTTTATCCCTTTGACACCAACAGCAAAACAACTGAATGTCATCTAGCATGAGGAAGGAAAAGTATCACTGGTATCCGAGATCAGCAGCTATTCATATTCCTACTGTAGACTGATTTCCTAGATGGCCAAATTCTGATCTCACTTAACCTGGTGTAAATTTGATAATTCCACTGAAATCAAGAGAGTTGGATCAGTCAGACTACCAGGATTTTACTTGATGAAATCCAGGTTTTCTTTGTGTAGAATGACAGGTTTCAGAGTAGCAGCCGTGTTAGTCTGTATCCGCAAAAAGAAAAGGAGGACTTGTGGCACCTTAGAGACTAACCAATTTATTTGAGCATAAAAATATGGAACGCTTCACGAATTTGCGTGTCATCCTTGCGCAGGGGCCATGCTAATCTTCTAAAATTGGAATGATACAGAGTAGATTAAATTTGTTAGTCTCTAAGGTGCCACAAGCCCTCCCTTTCTTTCTGTGTAGAATGTATATGATAATTTCTGAGCTTCTACAGTATATTATTCTACTTCTGTCATTGTTCAGCCTTTCACTGAATTATTGTAGTGTGTGTATGTAAAAGCCGTAGGCAAGCCAGTATTATTATTTTTAAAGTTTACAAGTTATTGGGCTCAGTACAGGGGTAAATGGATGAGATTCTATGGCCTGTGTTATACAGAGAGTCAGACTAGCTGATCTGAAGCATCCGGAGATGGCCACAGCTGGAGATAGGACAATGGGGGAGATGGGCCCGGGCTCTGAGGTGGTACCGGGCGTTCTCTCTCTCAAGTGCTTGGCTGGCTGGTTCTTGCTCGCATGCTCAGGGTAAGACTGATCCGCATATGTGGGGTCAGGAAGGGATTTTCCTCGAGGTCAGATTGGCAGTGACCTTGGGGGGGTTTTCACCTTCTTCTGCAGCTTGTGGGTATGGGTCACTTGCCGGAATTATCTGGGTATATCTCTTTTTAGATATACCCAGATAATTTTTTAGATATACCCAGTTCGTTGCCATTGCGGGGGCTTCAGGCGTTGTAGTGGCACACAGTAGTCTAGTCTCCTGGGGCTTGTAACGCTTAGGTCTCATTTTGATTGTTGGATTGCTGTGCGGGCCCTGCGTGGTGGCGGTGGCCCGTGCTATACAGGCAATCAGACGATGATCTGGTGGTTCCTTCTGGTCTTAAAATCCGTGGAGTGTCTCAGTTGGTGTGAATCAGGAGCTGCACTGGCTGTGTCCCTTTATGCCAGCTGAGAATGCGGCCTGTTGCAAGGCAGGATCCTGCATTGACTGAGGGATTCCTGCATGATGCAGTAGGTTGCTTTCTTCTCTGGCAATGATTTTACGCCTCTGACAAGCAAATGGTTTTAACACTTTATCTAAAACAAATTAGTATGTTTTTTAAAACTTTTACCCCGAAGGACTGTAAAAGGTTTCAGTCTGGATGCAAAATCTCTCTCTGACACAGAGGCCCAGAAGCAGAAGCCCTGCACTGAATTTTATATCTCCAGGCCCACAGTAGAACTTGCATAGAGAGGTGTGATCAGGCTAAGCATGTTGCACTTGGCTGAAGTACAAATGTTGTGTGCATAAGGGAACTCAGCCTGTGTTTGTATTTAAAACTCTGCCTCTGAATGCAATGTCCTGTGCGTCAGCTCTGCTTGGACACGTGCACAGCGACCACACTGATGTGTATCTAAGGTCAGAATTCAGTCCTCTGCATACCAGTTCCACTCTGGAAGGTGTCATGCATTTAATATTGCTAATGCTGAAGTTTACCTTACATTCTCGTACATGGGGTTCTGTGAGACCTCAGGAATTGTTTAGGCGGAAACCAATTCAAAGTGTCCTGCTACATAGCTCAAACCTGTACATTATGCATTTGCAGTGAGGCCTCTGTGAGAGAAGTTAAATACCTACAGCCATTCCACCTAGAACTGCAATCTCATTGCTAAGTAGGGTTAGGCTGGGTTGCTAATTGGATGGGAATCTTCTAGGGGAAACCCAAGTTGCTGCAGAAAGTGGTGGTCAGAGCTTGAAAATTTACCAGATAGCTGCTGTAGCCAGAGATGGATACCAAATACAGAATGGGACAGCTGTGGGGTACTGAGTCCCACTGTGAGTTGCAGGAAGGGGGCTGGCTTCTTAGCAAGGTGCTAAGTGACCTCATTGCACTCTTTGTCTTGCTGACTCTTCCCCAGCGCTTGCTGCTGGAAGGGAAAAGCATGCTCTTTTGCTCTCTCTCTCTCTCTTTTTTTATTGTCCCCATGCTTCACAGTTTTGTTTTTTGGGGAGGAGTGTTTCCACTATGTTTACCCTCTTCCATCCTCCTGACTGCTGCAAGGGCAAGTCTCTGCTACTCTAACCTTCTCCTCCAGCTTCTCATTTTGGGTTCCCTTCCCTTGTAACTCCAGTACCTGCCCCTGCTGCTCTCTGCCTTCCTAAGCAGGAGCAAACTGAAGTTGACATGATTACACCTTGGTGCTGTAGACTAGCTATACTACAGCAGATTGATAATGTTTAAATTCCAGTAATGACGGACAAGCACATTATCTGTTTCCTTCTGCTAAGCTGATCAGCAGTGAAACGATTAGCAGTGTTGATATTTACACATACCCATTAGGTTTCAGAGTCAATAATGAATTAAAATGATGTGGGGGGTAGTTTACACCCCTCAGAGCTACTAGTAGTTTCAGGTTGTCTGCAGCCCCAGGAATGCAATACAGCATCCGTTATGTTGGGAAGGTTATTTTGGCAACTGTAAAAGCTAGGAATTTAACTTGTAAAAAACCCCAAAACTTGATTTCTGTGGACACTGATGGCCCAGCCTCCTTACTTGAGAAACAGCTTCTCGCCAACGCTATGTGGGGAGTAAATGAATGTAATCTTGCAAGCCTTGGCATTTATGAGTAAGGGGTGCTCTGCCTGATGGCAAGGGAAGCTGTGCTATTGTGTGAGTGCAGTCTTTCAGATGTGCTGTAAAACTGAAGTCCTGACCATTCTTAGTGGTTACTTTTGCAAGAAATATAGGGCTTGAGGGCGTTTAACCTAGGAACCAATTCCAGCTTGGGCAATTGAAATCTATCTCCATAAACTTCTTCTGCAGTTCCTGTGAAATTCTTCCCATCTTCTTTTAAAGGGACCCTGTCAATTTGATTTTTATTTTTTTAAATTGCACTTTAAATAACATGTCCTGAATTGTTTAAAATAAATTCTCTGAAATAATGTACAAAGGGTTTTCTTCTCCCTTGCTGAAGTTTGTAAGTGGATTTCCAGCAAGGAGGAAACTGACTGGGACAGGCAAACAGCAAACTTGTCTATACACAAGTAAATAAATGTAATAATACAGAGTTTTCTGTTAAGTTTTCTTTCAAATATATTAATATTCCGTGCCACTTGTAACTATTGGAGGTAAGCACCTTTTCCAGACAGGTTTCAGAGTAGCAGCTGTGTTAGTCTGTATTCGCAAAAACAAAAGGAGTACTTGTGGCACCTTAGAGACTAACCAATTTATTTGAGCATGAGCTTTCGTGAGCTACAGCTCACTTCATCAGATGTTTACCGTGGAAACTGCAGCAGACTTTATATACACACAGAGAATATGAAACAATACAAAAAAACAAAAGGAGTACTTGTGGCACCTCAGAGACTAACAAATTTATTTGAGCATAAGCTTTCGTGAGCTACAGCTCAAACTTAATCCCCCATCCCTCCACAATTGATGATATTTAAACTGTCACATGGCGTTGTTCAGAGGTGGCTACATTTCACTGGTAGGAGGCCTGTTCCTTACCTTACTTACAAGGGCCTTGGATAGTTCGTATGTGTAAAGTGCTTTGAGATGCTCTGCTGAAATGCCCTATAGAAGTGCACTGTATTGTCATCTGTTCTGAACATAACTGCAATGTCCCATTCATATAATCAGAAAATAGGTGGGGTTTACTCATTCTCTTGGCTTCCTGGCCATTCGGGGGAAAGAAAAATACATACCCTATGGACACATTGCTTTGGATCCTAAGGAAGACACATGTATCCATCTGATTACATGTGGGAGGACAATCATTTCAAACTGAAAATGGGGGAGAACATTAGGGCTAGCGGTCTTGGTTCTTACATGTATTTGATTCTGTGGGCTTTCTTGTTAAAGCCTTGATCCTTGAAACTCGTGCCTGAATTGACCCAAGTGCAAACCTGCTCTGTTGTGCTGTTGTCCTGCGTTCCTAGGAGTACTTGGGTATCGTGATCCTTGACGTAAGTGTTGAACTGGGAATAGTTGACGGGCAGGGGTAAGCCACACACTAACCTTTAAAAGGAACAGCTGCTCCTAGCTGTCTTAGCAGTTGCCCTGATATATTTTTTAGCCTCCCTGTCCACTAAATGGCAAGTAGGTTATGCAGCAATTGCTCAAGTGATTCGGAGAAATGCAGCAAACTCAGGGCACCTTTACACTTAAAATGCTGTATTGATGCGGCTGTGCTGCTACGGTGCTTAAATTGGCAACCTTATTAGAGGGTCTTCGTTATGGTTGGATGTGTTCCTGGAGGTTTCATCACATGACAACCTTTAATTAAAGATTAATCTTTAATTCCTGAAGACTCCTGGACAATCCTGGAGGGTTGGCAACCCTATCCTCTAAGCTGATGGGAGAGAGCTCACCCATCTGCTTAGCTACTGCGTATCAGGGAGATGGATTAACTGTGTCAACTGGAGAGCTCTCCTGCTGACATAGCACTGTCTACACAGGGGTTAGGTCAGTATAACTACATTATTCGGGATGTGGATTTTCCCCACCCCTGAGCAAAGTAGTTATACTGCGATAGGAAGGTCTGTAGTGTAGACAAGACCTAAGTTTCCTGTGCAGACGGAGGAGCTGGTGAAGATGCAGTGAAACTTCTCTGCTCTGACTTGACCTGCTGTCTGATGGTATAGAGCTCAGTGCTGTGTGGAAGAGAAGAGTCTGTCCTATAGGTGTTTAATAATACTTAGCATTTCAGAGAGTCTTTCATGTAGGGACCACAGTCACTAGTTAAGCCTCACAGCCCCCCTTTGAGGTCGGTAAGGAATATATCCTCACTGAGAAACTGGGAGTCTACAGGTTGTGTCTTGGCATGGCCATGGCAGAGCTAGGAGGTGGTGGGGGATTACAACCCAAGAGTCATGGCTCAGAGTTCTATGACCATGAAAAGTAGTATACTACTGAAATGTGTTTGCTTTCCTGATTCTCTGCCTTCCCTCTCCCTCCTCCGGATGTCATTAGCCATGCCCATGTTAGATTCCTCTGAGTCTAAATCCTGTGCATCTGGCATGGAAAGCTTAGTGACTGCAGGAATCCAAGTTCCCCAAGTAAAAGCAGAAAACTCGTGGAGAAGTGTGTGGTTTGACATCAGCTTTCATAATCACATCACTGTGTTAGAGGAGAACATTACTGTTTGTACCTTTAAGAGTATTTGAACT